CAGGCCTTACCATACACAAAGGCGATGAGGGATGTGAAGGGAAATCTTACTTTGTAAGAAGAAATTATGATACCAATCAGTTCAAGACACTCCAAAACACATGAAATAGATAAAAGTTAGACGTGCTTACCTTTTAAAAATCTTCCCTTTCAACATACCAAAAATAATAGAATACGTGTCCTCCACGCAATATTCTTTCCTAATAAATGAAAGAGAGCATAGACAAAGTAAATGATAGATATTCTAATATATTAAAATTCTAACTGATCCTCTAACCTACTCACTAACAAAACAAAAAGTGGAGTGCATCTAGACGCACATCTACATTTAATACAATTATTGACAATATATGTTATTCCTTAAAGATATTAAATTTTTTGAGAAATTACAAATATTAAATACGAAGAAGAAAACTAATTTAAAATATAAAATTATACCTGAACACAACATGTCTCTGTCTCACCAATTGTGTAGAAGTCTCCTACTCCACGTCCATTTATGTCTCTCCCTTTTTCTCCTATGCGTAGACTCTTTTCTTTAATTATATTTAACAATGTCATTTTTTATTCTTGAAAGTAGGGTTGTCCTTGTTCAGGAACATCCATGCCTCTGCTTAATTAATACTTGTTATTAATACACTTGTTAGAAATAATTTTTATAAAAATATTATAATACTAAATTGTACCTCAATCTAAATTTGTATATATTACATAGCTTTACTTTGGTTCCAATTCTAACTAACCTAAAATGAAAAAGGAGATCAATTAATAAAAGGTTGGAAGTAATAATACCTCAAGATAAATTTGCATCTCTTTACCTGTAATTTTGACTGTGCTTTTGCAGCCAATGGTTAACCTGGTCTTGTAATATTTTATCCATATCTTCATCATATCCCTTTATCATGTTTGCAGGCATATCTTCTAGTTTCATTTAATTTTTCAGCTCATTTTTATTTGCCTTGTTATATATGTCAATACATGCTTTGAATCCATCGCCGTCAGGCACCAAATCCCATAAAATATGTATTCTCAGAAAATAAATAAATATAGATTAATATTATTTTCACATAATAGTAAATTAGACCAACTCATAATGCACAATTATTTAATCAAATGAAATACATTCCCGGAAGCGTACATATTTGAAACTTCATAGCGTTATATTCCTGAAAAATGTAACATTACAGTCAAAACCACCATAATTTTATTTTTCATTGCAATTATTTAAATTAATAACAAGGACAAGATATGCCTCGTTTGTTGTAACAACATATGCGTCTTCACGTGTACCTTGAGTTCAGATTCTCCTATATAGTGAAATTACAATCTTATGCTTGCGAAAGTTATTAGAAATAATGAAAAGAAGCCATCGGATGAAGGGTTACATAATAACATAACTTCTCAGACCATAGGATAAAGGGTTACACAGAAATCATGTGTAAGATATTTCCCTTTACATGTCGTCATGCATAAGATATTTCCATTTCTTTGTCGTCATGCAACAATGAATTATATTCTAAATCCATCATTCATCGTCATGCAACAACGAATTATATTCAAAATCCATCATTCAATAATAACTCTCCTTCCTTGGCGTCATGCGTTAGATATTCCCATAAAAATGATACAAACTGAAAAATTTACACCATTTTTGTAACATGTCTTACCATACACAAAGGCGTTGAGGGATGTGAAGGGAAATCTTACTTTGAAACAAAAAATTATGATACCAATCAGTTCAAGACACTCCAAAACACATGAAATAGATAAAAGTTAGACGTGCTTACCTTTGAAAAATCTTCCCTTTCAACATACCAAAAATAATAGAATATGTGTCCTCCACGCAATATTCTTTTCTAATAAATGAAAGAGGATAGATATTCTAATATATTAAATTTCTAATTGATCCTCTACCCTACTCACTAACAAAACAAAAAGTGGAGTGCATCTAGACGCACATCTACATTTAAGACAATTATTGACAATATATGTTATTCATTAAAGATATTAAATTTTTGAGAAATTACAAATATTAAATACGAAGAAGAAAACTAATTTAAAATATAAAATTATACCTGAACACAACAGGTCTCTGTCTCACAAATTCTGTAGACATCTCCTACTACACGTCCATTTATGTCTCTACCTTTTACTTCTACGCGTAAGCTCTTTTCTTTAGTTATATTTAACAATGTCATTTTTTATTCTTAAAAGTAGGGTTGTCCACGTTCGTGAGCATCCACGCCACTGCTTAATTAATACTTGTTATTAATACACTTGTAAGAAATAATTTTTATAAAAATATTATAATACTAAATTGTACCTCAATCAAAATTTGTATATCATACATAGCTTTACTTTTGTGCCAATTCTAACTAACCTAAAATGAAAAAGGAGATCAATTAATAAAAGGTTGGAAGTAATAATACCTCAAGATAAATTTGCATCTCTTTACCTGTAATTTTGACTGTGCTTTTGCAGCAAATGGTTAACCTGGTCTTGTAATATTTTGTCCATATCTTCATCATATCCCTTTATCATGTTTGCAGGCATATCTTCTAGTTTCATTTAATTTTTCAGGTCATTTTTATTTGCCTTGTTATTTATGTCAATACATGCTTTGAATCCATCGCCGTCAGGCACCAAATCCCATGAAATATGTATTCTCAGAAAATAAATAAATATAGATTAATATTATTTTCACATAATAGTAAATTAGACCAACTCATAATGCACAATTATTTAATCAAATGAAATACATTCCCGGAAGCATACATATTTGAAACTTCATAGCGTTATATTCCTGAAAAATGTAACATTACAGTCAAAACCACCATAATTTTTTTTCACTGCAATTATTTAAATTAATAACAAGGACAAGATATGCCTCGTTTGTTGTAACAACATATGCGTCTTCACGTGTACCTTGAGTTCAGATTCTCCTATATAGTGAAATTACAATCTTATGCTTGTGAAAATTATTAGAAATAATGAAAATAAGCCATGGGATGAACAGTTACATATAAATAACATAACTTCTCAGACCATAGGATAAAGGGTTACACATAAATCATGTGTAAGATATTTCCCTTTACATGTCGTCATGCATAAGATATTTCCATTTCTTTGTCGTCATGCAACAATGAATTATATTCTAAATCCATCATTCATCGTCATGCAACAATGAATTATATTCAAAATTCATCATTCAATAATAACTCTCCTTCCTTGGCGTCATCCGTTAGATATTCCCATAAAAATGATACAAACTGAAAAAGGCGTTGAAGGATGTGAAGGGAAATCTATAACACCTCGTATATCTAAATATGAAATTATATGTGATGTGCCTCTGGCAAGTGTGGTTTTTCCATGTTAAAATTGATAAGAATTGGGTCATAAGAGAGCAATTTAAATATATATTTGCTAATTATATTGATTCTTTCTTTTCAATTATAGTTCTCACCTATTGGTTGTGTTTTTACAGGTAAAAGAAGTGAAAATTACAAAATTATAAAAAGCCTGTTGACGCGATTCCACGAGGGTATTTTTGGAAGAAGAAAAAAAGTCTTATAAATAGGTGACTTTGCACAGAAATTAGGTTAAAAGGTGAAGAAATTCGAAATTTGAAAGAAAACAAGGAAATGATTTGGCGCTGATCGTGCTGGTGCCATGAATGCAGTCCTTGATTTGTGGAGTCACGGATTTGGCGCTGATCGTGCGGGCGTCATGAATGCAATCCTTGAATTGTGGAATTATGATCAAAATGAAAAATTAATGAAATTAAATTCAAAGATTATAACCTGATTGACCAGTTGCCTATTTAAAGGGTGGTCCTCCACCATTCCAAGACATTGGAGACGATTCAGACCTATTTCTTCAGAAGGAGACCGACGGCAGAGCTCAAGAGGATTCTTCTACAGTTCTTCTTCTTCTCTTTTCTCTGTAATTTTATGCTTTTGAATATTGGATTAGTTTTAGCCATGATTATGCTTGGCTAGTTTTCTTTTATTGTAGTTAGGGTCACGAGCCCTATGTGAACCCTTGTTACGATGGATTGATTTAGTTTTATTCATTTGTATAATTATCTTTGTCTCTACCTAGTGCGTATTTCCTATTCTCTTTATTAGAACTGATCAATCTGATAGTTGGGAATAGTTTGAGGGTTAGAACCCTAGATAGGAATATTGGGGTTTTCATCTTGAAAGGGGGTAGGACAACAATTGGTATGCATGCTAGGAATAGATGTGTATTTAATTGCGGATGCTTAAATTATTGCGTTCATTTCTTAATACCATGAGGAACATTGCAAGGAATTTGGGTTCCAATTGGGGATTAAAGGGTTAACCTTGCAAGGAATTGAGGGTTAACTAATAAATATTTTTAGATAATAATTTATCCGAGTAATTATATGAATAAATATTGTGAATCAATCCAAAGTAAGTGGGGATCATAAGGTGAGTGCGCTCTAGCTACAATATTTCTCATATTTTTACCCAAATCATTTTGCATCATTCTCTTATTTTTAAAATACAAAAATACGTCTTTATCTTTAATTTCTATTGTTCTTCAAATCACTTGGGTTTTATATCTTGAAAGGATGTTTATAAGATATTCGCTCACAATTCCTGTGGAGACGATAACTTACTTATCACTTTATTACTATCACTTTATTACTTGAACGATCGGTACACTTGCCGGACTGTATCAAGTTTTTGGCGCCGTTGCCGGGGATTGTGATTTCTTATATCTTATAATCTTGAATTTCAAGATTTTTCTTTCTTTTTGTGATTATTTTATTTTATTTTCTTATGTTCTTGTTTTAATTTGTTTTGAACATTGCTACTAATCTTCTCTTGAAGTTTTATGCGAGGCAAGGTTGATCCTACAAAATTGTTATTTGATCCTGAAATTACAAGGTTTGAAAGGAGAAACAGAAGACTTGCTCAGAAGAAATCAAAAGTGCCAAGTGCTCGATCTGAAGAAGCACCTGAAATCCCAACCATGGCAGTTAATAATGAAGCTGAAAATCCACTCATGGGTACCATCCTCACTCCAGCCTTCAACAGGCCTAATTCAAGCATTGTCCAACCTAATGTTGCTGACAATAATTGGGAGTTGAAGTCTTCCATAATTCAGTTGGTGGAGAGAGTTCAATTTGGAGGAGATGAGCATGAGGATCCTCACAGGTTCATAGACCGGTTCTTAATGATATGTGACTCAACCAAGCACCCTCGGGTGTCTGCTGATGCTATCCGGTTGAGATTATTCCCTTTTGCTGTAAAGGGAGAAGCACTTAGCTGGCTGGAGAGGCAGCCTGCACGGAGCATTGCTACATGGGAGGATTTGTCTACAAAGTTCTTTGCAGAGTTCTTTTCCATGGAGAGATACAATCAAATGGTGAATGATATCACCAACTTCACTCAAACTGAGGGTGAAACATTGTGTGCAGCCTGGAACAGGTTCAAGGACTTGATGAGGAGGTGCCCTCATTATAATTTGACTGCTAGTAATCAAGTCAGAATATTTTTCAATGGTATCACACCTGAAGATAGAATGGTTTTGAATGGTGCAGCTGGTGGTACTATTAAAACCATGAGGGCGAATGAAACTCTGGAGCTGATAGAGAGGATGGCCAGGAATGAAAATCAAGGGGTATCTTCAAAGTCTAAGAAAGGTAGCCTTCATCTAGAAGGTAATGAGTCAGTTCTGGCTGAAAATAAATTGCTAGCTCAACAAATGGCTAGTTTGACTTCCAGGCTTGACAAGATGCAGATCGCGGGAGTTCAAGCTCGGTCTGTTGCCTTTGTCTGTGACTACTATACGGACAGTCATGCTCCTAATGAATGTCTATCTCTTGCTTCTTCTTATTCACCTCAACAAATGCAGGTGAATGGTATATTGTAATAACCCAAAAATCTTGTACTCGAAATTATCCTAATGAAATGAAATGAAAAGGGATCAAGTCCATATTCAGTGAACGAGTAGCTTTGAATAAGCAACATTAGTCATAAGTTAGAACCCATTTTAAATAAGATAAGTAGTAACTTAACCCAATGTGGTTTAAAGCCCAAACAATGTCATAGCCCAACCCACTTAAGAATATAAATAAGTTAAGATCAAGTGAGAAAGGATATAAGCCCAAAGCAATGCAAGCCCATTTTATGAATTGAATAAGGAATAGCCCAATTAGTAAGTACATAAAGACCCAAGCCCACACCACTCAAACAAAGCCTAAGCCCATTTACTAATGATCAAACCTCTCCATCAACACTATTGGGCCGAAAACACCACTATGCCCAATCCAATTCAAAGATAAGCCCTAGATGAGGTGGCAACACATGATAGGAAGAATTTGTATGAAGTTACACCTCCCCACATTATAACTTAGGCCATGACAAGGAGAGAAGGAAAGGAAGTTGTGTTCACATTCCCCTAGGCGCTAAATAAGGAAGGAAAAGTGATGAAGGAGTTTGTGTAAGAAATACTCCAAACCTAACCAATGCATGTGACTTACTTTAACCAAAAGCAACATTACTTTCCCTTAAGCTACCTTGGAGGGCGCACACATGACAAGAAAAGGAAAGCTTTCTTCTTACACACTCAAGCCATGCATGACACCTTACAAGATCAAGTCTCCCTTCTCCCTAGGCACACACGGTCACCAAGGAGTCACATGACCAAACTCTTCACTTCCTCTCAACCTTGGCCAAACAACAAAGGAAGCAAGGAAACCCTAGTTCAAATTCACACTCAACCCTCCTTGAATTATGAGCTTTCATCATGAATAGACTTGAATAAAAAATTAGGAAAATATCTTCCCTCTTTCCCCCTATGTCACGGCCATCAACTAAGGCAAGCAAGGATTGCTTTTCTCCCACTCAAACCTCTCACCAAGACCAAACAAATGCCAAGTGTAATACATGCAAAGGTCACAAAGAACAACCATCTCTCCTCCCTTTACATGTTCGGCCATTCCATCAACAAAGACAAGGAAAGATGTCTCACACTCAAGCATCACTCACTCACCACCAATGCATGTGAATAACTTCCTCCACACTCTCAAGTAACACTCAAGCACCTCTAACCTAATACCCCAAGGAAATGATGACTAGGCTTGAATAAAAGAACAAGCAAAGAGCTTCCTCCTCCCCCTAAGGCCGTGAAGCACTAAGCATCAAGACAAAGAATCCTTCTCCCTCACACCTTGGCTTCGGCCATCCCTTTCCCAAACAAACCAAGCAAGTAAAATACTCAAACACTTCATCCTTCTCTACTCCTAAGCCTCAGCCATAGCATGTTCAAGGACCTAGGATCATCTCAAAATTATTCTAAGCTCTCCAAACCCTCTTGTCTTCACCCACATGGGTAAGGTAAAGGCTTCACCTCATTTCGTTTGGTGTAGACTAAGGATCCCTAAGTTTCCACTCTCTTTGTGTAGCAAGAGACCAAGAGGTTGTTGGAAGCAACTCTCAACTCAAGGCTCCTTGAAGACCACGTGTGAAGCATTAGATAAAGTTGTATTATCATCATTAAGGTAAGACCTCATCTCTTCAAGCTAGTAGAATGAACCCTAACCACTCTACATGACTAGATCTTGGACTAATAAAGCCATGCATGCATCTATCATCCTAGAAATCATCTCCTATTTTATACCATCTCTACATGGCCGAACTTAAATGATATGCATGCACTCTCCAAATCTTCAAAACATTGGCTAAACAACCTAAACCTAAAATGGCCGAATGTGATGTATAGGGAAGTATAGTCTAAAGTCTGATTTAAGGATCAACCATTTTATATGAGCATTTAAGCCATGAACATGTTATCAAAAATGTCCTCTAGGTATACACCCCTAAATGGTCGAACCCCAACAAGCTTAGAAAAGAAATTTGTGAATGTTTTCTTAAGTATCATGATGTATGGCCGAAATGGATAGGACCTATGCATGAGAACAACTAGTAAAAATCATCTCCTAAGGCATTTCATCAAAAAGGGCTGAACCTATGTCAAGAGGAATATTAAGTTTAGATCTTTAATTTTAGAACTATGTACTAAGGATGGTTATGTTATTAGGCCGAACCAAAGGGACAAGAAAGGACCAGAACCACCTTGAACTCTTGGGAAGTGATAAGACAAGACTATTGTGTAAGTGATTTATGGTTGTTGAAGCGGCTACCCTATGGTTGCCACCCCCTTTATGTTAAAGTGAGGTTTGACTGCAATATGTTATATGATGCATTACATGATATGTTTGGTTGTTTGGAACTAATGTTTATTCATGCAAGTTTTGTAAGATGGCATGTGCACTAATACCACAGAGGCAACCTGACGAGGACCCTGGGTATTCGTCCATAAGACCATGGAGAGTAATTGCCATGGCAGGATTGGTATGATGATATGAAAGCATGATTATTTTCCAAACTATTTTTCCAATGTTTTGCCATTCTATTATTGTACATGTTATTATGTGACTATTGCAGGAGTAAGCATCATGGTTTGGAGGTTGCTCCAACTGTGAGTCCTTACTGAGACCCCCAATCTCACCCCTCTTTGGGGAAACCCACTTTCAGGAAAAAAATGACTAAATGGGTAAGACAGGGAAGGAGGCTGGTACGAGTTGAAGAGGAACCTGCGCAACCACGTGCAGTTGATAATGACTCCAAAATAACGGAGATATTTGAGAACTTACTGGCCGAAGGAAGGCTCTTGGAGGCAGACTATATTATATCTGCTCTAGCTGGGCCCATGTGGCTTGAATAGGCACCTTCCTAAGGGTGTACCTAAGTTCTAATTTGGGATGACTGTAATAGACTATGCCACTTAGATTATTTTGAACCTCTTATATGCCTTTGAAGTACGATATTTTGGAATGTTTATGTTTTTATGGACTTATGAATTTAGTAGGAAAGATTAAGTAACATAAGCCATTATCCGCATAAGACACTTAAGTAACTACCCACTGGGTAGTAGTCAACACTAAAATTATGATCATGTAAGTAAGCTCCTAAAATAGCGCATAAGTATAAGTAGGGTAACCAAGTAGAGATTAATTTGTAAGTAGACCGTAGACAAAGAAAAAGAGAAACTCATGACTAGAGGAATAGATAAGTTAGGGGAATGAACGAAATTAATTCCCATTAGTAAATTTTAAGTTAACCACGCTTAAGTACATGGATTCCGCGCATTGAATGTCAAGCAATGTTACACCTTTGATGGCCTCATTAAGGGTGTTACATTTTTATGGTATCAGAGCAAATTTCTGATCTTTAGGATGAGAATTACACTCTAACTCCTTTATTTTACCTGTAACATATGTGCAGCATTATGCCTCCACGTAGGGTACCTACTCGCAGTAACCCGCAAGGACAAGAGGACATACAAGGCCAGATTAACACCTTACGGGACACCATTACCCAGATGCAGACTAATGCAGGGGAAATGTTCCAAAATATTCTGAATGAAATCAGGCGCCACCCTCACAACGCGACCAATAATAATAACGTCGCAAGTGGCTCAGGCACTGGAGGAACAGGTAGTGGCGGACCCCAACCGCAGCCAGAACATGGAGCGGCTGGCCGAAATAATCAAGATCTGCTGCTGACATTTAGGAAGCACAAGCCGCCCTCCTTTCAGGGAGGACACGATCCAATAGTAGCTGTGCAGTGGCTACAGGCCATGGACAAAATATTCAGAGTGGTTCAATGCACCGATGATCAAAAGGTGCTATTCTCAGTGTATATGTTGGAAGGAGACGCCCATCATTGGTGGGCTAATGCGTCCCAACCCTTGGTGATGCAAAATGTGGCAATTTCGTGGGCCATGTTCGAAGAAATGTTCTTGGAGAAGTATTTCCCGATGTCAATCCGGGATAGCAAGCAAGGCGAGTTTGATCGACTCGTGCAAGGAACCATGACGGTGGATCAGTATCATGCTAAATTCAACGAACTACTCCGACTGGCAACTTACCGAGGAACTATGCCCATGCCAGACTTCCTGGCAGCAAAATTTCAAAGGGGTTTATCCGCTAGGATTGCGGAACTGGTAGCTGGCAACGACCCCTGTGACCTAGCCACCCTGGTGAACAGATGTAGAAAGGTGGAAGCGATAGGATTGCAAGCAAGGAAGCCTGCAGAGACCAGCGGATCTGGAACCAAAGCTCCGATGGCTAAGAATGGACAATGGAGAGGAAAACGCGAAGGCAGACCGTGGCAGCCCAGGCGTGATGGTAATAAGTTCAAGAGGCCCGGGAATCCTCGAGGAAACGGCAATAGGGCTCCCAATTGCCCCAAATGTAAGAAGGCCCATTTTGGCAACTGTTTAAATGGGTCGACACAATGTTACAAGTGCGGCCAAGAAGGACACTTCATCAAAGATTGTCCACAATGGGGAGAACAACAGACAGCCGCAGAGGCGCCAAGAGTGGGCAGAGTTTACACGCTGGATCAACATGTGGCGGACCAGGCGGCCGAACTAGTTAAAGGTACGATCAATATATGTGATGAGGAACTATCTGTTTTATTTGACTCTGGTGCGACCAATTCCTTCATTGCTGATTATGTGGCAAAAGCCTTTAACCTAACTATGAGCCCAATGCAATCCCCTATGCAAGTCACCTCTGCGACGGGGGAAGTGACAGTGTCTCACTTCACATGTAGAAGTGTAGAATTCAGATACAAAGGAAAGAAGTACAACCAAGACTTCATAATCCTCCCCTTAGCCAAACTGAACCTGATTTTGGGAATGGATTGGCTGGCCAAACAACACGTAGTAATTGATTGTAACAGCCGAAGTATAATAGTCGGCGGGGATATGATGGGGACCCCACTCCCCAATACTCCACCGGTCGAATCGGGAGATTGCACTCTCATGCTAATAGCCGGTCTAGTAGGTGCGAGCGAGATCCCGTTGATGAACATTCCCGTGGTCAAAGAATTCGAGGATATATTTCCTGACGACATTACCACCTTTCCCCCTGAAAGGGAAGTGGAGTTTTCTATTGAACTTATTCCCGGGACTGGACCAATCTCAATTGCACCCTACCGTATGTCTCCCCTTGAATTGGTAGAATTGAAGAAGCAATTAGAAGACCTGCTAGGGAAGAATTTCATCCGACCCAGTGTATCCCCGTGGGGAGCACCAGTTCTATTCGTAAGGAAGAAGGACGGATCAATGAGACTTTGCACAGACTATCGGCAACTCAACAAAGTGACTGTCAAGAACAAATACCCATTGCCTCGTATCGAGGACTTAATTGATCAGTTAAGGAGTGCAAAGGTGTTTTCGAAGATTGATCTTCGATCAGGATATCATCAGATCCGGATCAAACCGGAGGACATCCCTAAGACAGCTTTCAGATCAAGATACGGGCACTATGAGTACTTGGTCATTCCCTTCAGATTGACTAATGCCCCGGCTGTAACACCCTTAATGAGGCCATCAAAGGTGTAACATTGCTTGACATTCAATGCGCGGAATCCATGAACTTAAGCGTGGTTAACTTAAGATTTACTAATGGGAATTAATTTCGTTCATTCCCCTAACTTATCTATTCCTCTAGTCATGAGTTTCTCTTTTTCTTTGTCTACGGTCTACTTATAAATTAATCTCTACTTGGTTACCCTACTTATACTTATGCGCTATTTTAGGAGCTCACTTACATGATCATAATCTTAGTGTTGACTACTACCCAGTGGGTAGTTACTTAAGTGTCTTATGCGGATAATGGCTTATGTTACTTAATCTTTCCTACTAAATTCATAAGTCCATGAAAACATAAACATTCCAAAATATCGTACTTCAAGGGCATATAAGAGGTTCAAAATAATCTAAGTGGCATAGTCTATTACAGTCATCCCAAATTAGAACTTAGGTACACCCTTAGGAAGGTGCCTATTCAAGCCACATGGGCCCAGCTAGAGCAGATATAATATAGTCTGCCTCCAAGAGCCTTCCTTCGGCCAGTAAGTTCTCAAATATCTCCGTTATTTTGGAGTCATTATCAACTGCACGTGGTTGCGCAGGTTCCTCTTCAACTCGTACCAGCCTCCTTCCCTGTCTTACCCATTTAGTCATTTTTTTCCTGAAAGTGGGTTTCCCCAAAGAGGGGTGAGATTGGGGGTCTCAGTAAGGACTCACAGTTGGAGCAACCTCCAAACCATGATGCTTACTCCTGCAATAGTCACATAATAACATGTACAATAATAGAATGGAAAAACATTGGAAACATAGTTTGGAAAATAATCATGTTTTCATATCATCATACCAATCCTGCCATGGCAATTACTCTCCATGGTCTTATGGACGAATACCCAGGGTCCTCGTCAGGTTGCCTCTGTGGTATTAGTGCACAGGCCATCTTACAAAACTTGCATGAATAAACATCAGTTCCAAACAACCAAACATATCATGTAATGCATCATATAACATATTGCAGTCAAACCTCACTTTAACATAAAGGGGGTGGCAACCATAGGGTAGCCGCTTCAACAACCATAAATCACTTACACAATAGTCTTGTCTTATCACTTCCCAAGAGTTCAAGGTGGTTCTGGTCCTTTCTTGTCCCTTTGGTTCGGCCTAATAACATAACCATCCTTAGTACGTAGTTCTAAAATTAAAGATCTAAACTTAATATTCCTCTTGACATAGGTTCAGCCCTTTTTGATGAAATGCCTTAGGAGATGATTTTCACTAGTTGTTCTCATGCATAGGTCCTATCCATTTCGGCCATACATCATGATACTTAAGAAAACATTCACAAATTTCTTTTCTAAGCTTGTTGGGGTTCGACCATTTAGGGGTGTATGCCTAGAGGACATTTTTGATAACATGTTCATGGCTTAAATGCTCATATAAAATGGTTGATCCTTAAATCAGACTTTAGACTATACTTCCCTATACATCACATTCGGCCATTTTAGGTTTAGGTTGTTTAGCCAATGTTTTGAAGATTTGGAGAGTGCATGCATATCATTTAAGTTCGGCCATGTAGAGATGGTATAAAATAGGAGATGATTTCTAGGATGATAGATGCATGCATGGCTTTATTAGTCCAAGATCTAGTCATGTAGAGTGGTTAGGGTTCATTCTACTAGCTTGAAGAGATGAGGTCTTACCTTAATGATGATAATACAACTTTATCTAAGGCTTCACACGTGATCTTCAAGGAGCCTTGAGTTGAGAGTTGCTTCCAACAACCTCTTGGTTTCTTGCTACACAAAGAGAGTGGAAACTTAGGGATCCTTAGTCTACACCAAACGAAATGAGGTGAAGCCTTTACCTTACCTATGTGGGTGAAGACAAGAGGGTTTGGAGAGCTTAGAATAATTTTGAGATGATCCTAGGTCCTTGAACTTGCTATGGCCGAGGCTTAGGAGTAGAGAAGGATGAAGTGTTTGAGTATTTTACTTGCTTGGTTTGTTTGGGAA